AAGACACATTCAATGCATGACCAATTTGAACACTGCTCACACGCAAGCCATTGGTTATCTAAGTTATTTGTCCAATTAATTTCGCAAGAATAACATAGAAGATTATCAGATACTAAAATGTTATTTGAAGCTTGAGGAAAATGAGGGTCTTCTAATCCATTTTTTGTCTTTATACCTTTTTTACCTGGTATTTTAGACGACTGACTTTGTCTCAACTTTTTTTTTCTTCTCTTTTCTGTGCATTTTTCGCTTTTTGAGTAGCAGTAGAAATCTTTTTTTGTTCTCTAGTAAATTTCTTTGCAGCTTGTTCATCTAATTTTTGCTTTTTTAATGCTTGTTCAGCTTCATCGTAAGCTATGGCATCCGCCGAAGTCATATTATAATTAGCTGGTCGCTTTATTCTCTCACTTTTTTGAACTCTTTTATTTAGAGTTGGTGTCAATTGATCTCGAAGCATATTTAACACTGATTTGTTTATATCTTTGCCCACTTGTTGAACAGCGTTATTCAAAGTAGCAAAGCTTTTAAGCAAAAATTCACGAGTTGACATTCTTGACGGTGTGTTAGGTGTATTGGTAATATTTCCCATAACTAATGGACTAGATACTGTTGAAGAATCAAATAAATATTCAATATTGTTGTTTTCGACAGCTTGAAACACAGCACCAATAGAAGTTTTTTTTGAAGAAATTTGCGAACGATCGAGTGGAAATATACCAGTATTTTTGAAACCACTCCGTGCATTTTCAGGTTTAAACCCACCATTTTCGATGAGATCCTTAAACATGGCCGGAAAATGTCGATTAGTCAGGCTTTGAAAGTGATTTTTAGTCAAATAACTTTCGACAATTCTCATCCATGCGCCTTTTACTGTTTTAAAAACGCCAACATCTAGTGGCTGTAAAAAATGGCTGGTATGAGCCGGCAAACGCCAAAGTAAAATATAATTTTCTAAAGCTTTTTTTTTCAACTTTAAGCTCATATGTGAAGCATGGCCATCAAGTATTAGAACTTTAAATCCTGAAAGTTTGTTTGCGTGAGGCAAAAAAACTGTTTCAAACCACGACAAAAAATGTTCGGACTCCATCCAGCCTGAACTACTACTGTTATAATAAACATTCTGGGCACCGCCTTTGCACCAGTCTTTCATAACATGTTTGCCTTTATAAATTATTTGATGAGGTAAATAATTACCGAATGCGTCACAACAAGTCAAGATTGTCGTCATTTGCTTTTCATTCGATGGTGCTAGCTTTTTAGGGTTTTTTGTTCCTTTTCTACAAATAATTTTGACTTTGCCTTGATCAAATTGCAAACCAGATTCATCACAGTTAAATATTTGAAACGGCTTATCGCCTAAATTATGTACATTATATGCTACTGCTAATTGCTCAAACCAATTGTCAATTATAGCTGGTTGTGTGGCCACAGCTCTAATAGTTTGCATACCGCTTACTTTCCTTGGGGAAATTTCTTTACGATATTTATTCATGAAACCGGAGTACCATTTTCTAGTCGGTTTGCCGTCTTTGAATAGACTACGTTGGTTTGATTCTTTTAAATAGTTTTCAACAACAATAAACACGTCTTTTCTATTCAAGCCGAAACCTATATCACTCATAAATTTTAATAAATCAACAATAATAGCTTCAGTGATGTTGCTCATCTTTCTTGGCGCTCCTCGATTATTAGATGATCCTTTTGTTCTGTCAAAAAGTGTAGATTTTGCCACATTATAACACTTAGCAGCTTGTACGTATGACATTTTTTTTTCAGTAATAGCTTGAATAGCTAGCTGGATTCGACTCTCTCGCTCTTCTTTTTGTTTAAAATTATCCATATTCTTTTATACAGTAATACAATTAACACAAATGCGTTAACTTTATGGATGCTAAAAAAAAAGAGCTTTATCTCAATTATTTTTCCCTTGTGGCTATTTTATTTCTTATTATTTTAAGGTGGTAGTATGGTCAAAATTCTAAAATCATTTTTTTTAACCAAACAGTATTGATTTCATAAAATATTAAAAGACTGCATAAAAACATAAAATTCAAAAAAAAAAAAAATTTTTACTTTTGGACCCAGGTTTTGGGTTGTGAAACCTAAAACAGTCAATAGGTGCTGCGATAAATATTGAGACAATGGTAGATGCTATAAAACTCAAACTCAGTGTTTACTTGTATTATATTAAAGAACTCATGGAAGCAGAATTATAAAGTAAGCTTAAAGCACCAAGGAGATACAGCATATACAACTAACGGGTCAAATTTTACCCCCAAACAGCCCCCTTTAAAAGTCCATAACTCTGTCAAAATATAATATCAAAAAAATATACTGCTCCAATGAGTTTATCATATATATTATTACAACTGAACAAAATTTTAAAGAACCATAACAAGTAGTTCCCAAGTTATTTATCGCACCATGCTAAAAAATGTTGTTCTGAGAAAACAGCAATTTAAAAAAATTAACAAATCAATTGAAAAAAACAAATTAAAATATAAAATAAGCTCTCATTCTAATCTTAAAGATTTCTAATCACTCTTCAATGTATTAACTAACAACAATATTAATAAACTAAGTTTATAATGAGTTTTAACTAATTTTTTAAGTACAATAAAGAAGTTAGTATCCTTGTTAAAAAAAATATAAAAACTTCGAACTAAAAAAAAAATAAATTATGATAATCAAATTTAAATTTTTAAAATAAGTAGTTATATCAATTGAAATATAACAAAACCACTCAAAACTGCCAGAGCTTTAAGCTACTTCTTTACTTTCTTCATATTGATCACTAAAATCTTTTTATTTTGCCCTTATTTGTTTCTGACATTGCTTTACCTCATCAGTCAAATTTTTTTTAGCAATATTTTTAACTATTTGACAATCTCTTTGTTTGCAAAATGTAATACAGTTTTTTTTAGGATTTATACCAAGCTCTAAATAAACATTTAACAAACCAGTTAATCCTTTATTGAATTTAATAACAGCTGATGCTGCACCTTTCTCTAAAGCAATTTGCCCCACACAAACATTTTTGGACTTCGATTCCAATTTATTGCATTTAAGGCTTCATTATTGTTTCGATTTTTTCCATGAAGGCACTTTTTTAATAAGCACTTTTTTAACAAACAATCTGATAATCTATGAATACTGGTTATGTCCCTAATAACAATAGGCAGTCCAGGTTTTCCTTTATTAACATATGTTTTATCAAATTTATATCCTTTATATTTGTAATTAGTTTGAGGACACATAGCATGTCTTACATCAGAAGATAATGGCTCAGAGTAGTTAAATAATACAGCTTCAATAGCTTTTATTAGTTTATTAACAGATTTCCCACAACATTGACAAATCACAATTCCAAAATAATTTTGTAACATCGCAACTACTGAATGTTATTATATATCAAAAAACTTTTCAGAAGTTTTACTTGCAACTTTTTTACAAGTATACAATTTTGTTTACCATAAAAGTTTAATGCAACTCAATAGCAACAAAGAACTTAAACCTTTTTTCTTTTTATAATCTATATTAATATTGATTGAATTGCTCTCAGTCAGGGCATGTTCCAACTAAAGTAAGAGTTTGTACAATTATATTAAGATCAATTAAAACAAAATTAGACTCCTTTCTTCTTACTTTGAAATAGTTTACTTTAGGTTCATTATTGGCAATAACATTGCTGGTTGATGTTGTAAAGTTAAGTAAAATGCTAAATTTTTAGCATTTCTATCAATTAATGACAATTCTTGGCTCGCAGAAGTATCTTTATATTTTGGGAAAAAAATTGCCAAACTTGATTTTTTGAAGTGCTTTATCTTTTTTTAAACACTCTTTAGGCACAAGTTTTTCTTCTTCTTAAAACTTCAGTTTTCATATTAGTTGATTAGAAATAATAAATTTGTTTTAATCTACACTGAATAGTTTATAAAACAACAATAAACAATCATACTCTAGATATATTCAACATTAGTAACTGAAATAGATAACATGTGTTTATGTAATGATAGTCAACAAGATAACTGCTTATATAAGTGCTGGTTTAATGTTTTTACGGCAAAAAAAGAAGCCAAATTCACTTAGTAATTTCTCTAAGAAAATACTTTTTTCAGGGAGTTCAATAAGATGATATACATGGTGTTTACCTTGTTGCTATGCCGTTGCTAAGGAGCAATATTATATAGTACAACTTTTTATATAAAAAATAGACGGTTTTATATAGAATACATCAAAAAAATCGTTTTCAGCATGAATGAAAATATTAAGTTATATTTAAAAAAAATCAAAAAATTGGAAATTTTTGACCATACTACAACCTTAATGAACATAATATATTTCATTATGTGCATGAAAGTGATAAAAAATAAAATAGCCAATTGTAATTAACTGTATCCGGGACTCAAAAATGTATTTGTTTATTGCTGCTGGCTAATTTGTTTATTATTTTTTCTAGGTACATAAAATAATAACTACCTCTATCCGGAATTAGGTGTCTTTTTTTTTTGGCTGTAAGCAAATTTGTTTTTTATTTTTTTCAATTATTTCAAAAGGAAATTTAATTTTTTTTTTTTGGCTAAAATAATCAGCATAAAATTCTGCACAAAATAGTGTTTTTACTTTTTAATTTTTTTGTTGCAAGTCAAAGTTTTTTTTTTTCCTTTTTTTTGTTTTTTTAGTTATGAGAGATTTCAAATTGAAATCTTTCATGATTGCATTAGTTTATATAATTTTTTTTTTATATTTTTTGATTTGTCTTGTAAAGACGTTTATTAATTAAAAAAAATTATTCATAAATTCATTATATTAAGGGAGTTATGAAACTTTTTATTAAAACCATCCGGGATTAGGTTACATCCGGAATTAGGGGTTTTTACGGTATATTACTCCTTCGATTTATTGATTTGTTGCTGATTTCCGAATGTAGTGGGATGGTGAGAATATTGTAGTTTATACGCATCAATAGTAAGAAAATAAACTATTATCTTATTTTTCAGGAACTGGCACTGGCAAAACAGTGAGTAATATGATATATTGTTTTTTTATAATACATATTTTTTACTATGTATTGAAATAAATTTTTTTTTTTAATTTAATCACAAAAATTCTTGTTATTTAATCATTTAAAATAACTTGCTATTTATTTAATCATTTAAAAATGTCATTTAAAATGTTTTTTTGTTTAGCTTGGGTTTGCTCTACCAGTTTTGGAAAAATTAAAAAATATAGATAGTGAACAAAAACGTAAAAGTCCCCTGGTAAATAAATTATAGTTCAATTTTTTTTTTTTTTTTTTTATAATTTTTATATTTAATGTTACCTGGAATTTGTAATAGCTTTAATTTTTTTTTATTAGGTGCTAACTCTTGCCCCAACAAGAGAACTTGCAATACAAGTAAAGACTTATTTTCTAATAATATGTATTTTTTTAAAAATTATTTGTCAATTCTATGTATAAAGTTAAATTAATTTTGATACCTGAGGTTTGGGAGCCAACACAATCCAACATCAGGGTGGCCACTGGTCATAGAAATCATGGAAATGTCATGAAATTTTATTTAGTCAAGGAAAAAGTCATGGAATTCTTAAATTTTCATTGAAATTCATGGAAAATTTGATGGAACTTTTTAAAATGATCTTTATTTTTTTTTACTTGTGATATTTTTAGGATGCAAAAAAAAGTACTAGTATGTGTAGTCTATGTCCTTTTTGAAAAAGATATTTTTGCAGTGTAAGTTATCGGAGAAGTTAAAAAAAAAGATTTTTTCAGTAATGATTTTAGAACTTTCCACCTTTTAGTTTTTGGGATATATAGAAGAAGGGGTTAGATTTTATCTGTTAACCCCTTTTTCATCTATAAGGTTGGCGTAGATTTATTTATAATACATTTTTTCCAGTTAAGAATGTTGAATGCTGGATCTTCTTGACTCATTGCATGGGTTCTGCTTGTGTCTCTGTTTTTATGACTAAGTAACTCATTCTATTATCTCCTAATAAGGGTATAGATTTAAAACTCAGTTTGATGGTTCTGAGGCCGGCTGGTAGTCAAGAACTTTGTAGTAGCTCACAAAGAGGCTGATTCCATCAACAGCTATAAAATCAGAGTACTAACAGTGCCATGTTATGCATGGATGGTGTCCTAGTTTGTTCTTTTGGTGTGCATTATAGAGGCCACATTTAAAGCTCTTTGTTACGGGTTTATTAATGGTAATGAGGCAATTGCTTGGACTATTAGATAATGTACTGATTACTGTTTATGCTTTGAGTCGAGTTCTTTAAAAAGATCCCAAACTCCCAACACATGTTGTGCTCATATTAAAAATAATGTTGAAAAAAAAGATTTGAACCAAGTTTTCGATTTTCGATTAAAAATAAATAATGAATGTATACTGAGAAAAACTAATCTTGATGTTTTACTCAAAATCTTTGAGTTTTTAAATTATGTCGTGATCCACAGACTTCGGCGATTCTTTGAAGCGTGTTTAATTCTACTTTAGTTCAATTAGCATTTTTCTACTTTAGTTCAATAAGTGCGTTATAGTTTTTTTTTAACATACATCAAAACGAATTTGTTTGTATTATTTTTCCAACCATCGTAGAAAAATTTTGTATAAAGTAAAATAATAAATTATTTTTATTTTATAGAAGAAACTTATTTTTTACAGTTATCTTAATAATTTTTAGATTTATATATCTTATATTTCTTTTTTTTTAAAATTAAAACAAGTATTAAAGCTTTACTTACCAATCTTATGATTTTCATACAAGTATTTCACATTATATAGATTGTTATATATGCGGTCTCTTGTTTTTGTGCAAGAGAGCGCATCCTATATTCTAAATCTTACTTATTTTATTTAAACAATGGGAGCTATTTTTTAACTTCTGGTTAATTTTACGCTATGACATTTTTTTTTTCCTGTCGAAAAAATTATTTATTAACAATTACTTTCATTAACTAACATTATTAATTAGAGATATTAGATGAACTGTTGAATTTTTTTATTATAAAAAATTTTTGATTACACTGATTTAATTTAAATTGCTAAGTTTGCTAAATTGGATATGGATAAAACAGAAATATCATTATATTTTGCATTTGATTTTTGATAATGAGACTTTTAAAATGTTGGCAACTCCATACCAAATAGAACCTATTGAGAAAAAGTTATGAAAAAAAAGTACAAGAATACAATTAACAATACTGTTGACTGTAGTATCAGATATAAATATTTGTGAAAGTTTTATGTGAGATCCAGGTTTTGCGAGATCCTGGTTTTGCATTACAAGTACAATCAATAACAGCACAAGTCGGCATTATAAATTTTGATTATAAGTTTACTGTTCAATATTTTATAACCATTAAATTAAAAAGATGAAATATGTATATTTTTGCCCATTTTATATAATCAACATTTAACAAAAATACAGACAAATTATTATTAAATCAATGGCAATAATTCAAGATAGATGGTAATTTAAATTGTCAAAATGTTATAACATGTGTTAAAAAACATATATTTAGTATTTCCCAATTTATGTGTCATATTTAGCATTCACTCTTAACATGGAAGATTAAAAAACTAACAAAATTGACTAATACAAGTTTTCAAGCAATTTTCACTTCCAATGCTCATTTATTAAAAAAAAAGTTATAATTAAACTTATTTCTCTCATTTAAAAAAAGAACGAGTGACACAACAAAAAAAAATATTCTATACAACTTATTCATTAAAAGTTTAATTACGTGAACTTTCCTTTCTCTTTTGTTCTACTCTTATAAAAAGAGCTTGTGATGAAATAAAAACTTTTCTTTCTTAACAAAGAATTAAACTTATAGATAAAATTTAATTAGAAATTAACAATAAGCAAAGTAACTAACATTCCAATCTGGGACTACTTTAATATTGATGAATATAAACATCCATCTAATATAAACATCCATGGATCTTCTAATGATGCCCTTTCTCTTTTAGACAAGGTGCAAAAACGCATTGTAAACATAGTTGGACCTGCTCTGGCAGCCAATCTCCAACCTTTGTCACATCGTCGTGATGTTGCTTCTCTTTCTCTTTTCTACAAATACTATAATGGGCACTGCTCTAAAGAACTAGCGTCTCTTGTGCCATCTACTAAAATTCATTCTCGTGTTACTCGTCATTCAATTAAGTCTCATCCTTTTTCTGTGACTGTTCCTAAGTGCTTCAAAAACTTTTATTCTTCTAGTTTTTTTCCTTGAACATCAGTTCTTTGGAATTCGCTTCCTTCATCTTGCTTCCCTGATTCATATAATTTGCAATCATTTAAGTCATCAGTCAATCGTTATCTTGCTCTACAGATTTAGTCTTTTCTCTTCCAGTAACTTCCAACTCTTTTAGTGGTTGCTTGCAGCCTTGTTGGAAGTGATGTTAAAAAAAAAAAAAAAAAAAAAATATAAACAACATAAATGACAACACTCATCAAATAAACAATACAATATCACATAATTTTAGGGGCTTTTTATTTGTTGCTTAGTTCTCTAAATAATAAGTAAATTTAGTTCAAGTTAATATTTCAATATATTACAGATGCAATATAATAGCAAAAGATGTTTAATGTTGAACTTTTAGTTATTTATTTTTTACCTACATTTGTTATAAAAAGACTTTAGTACCCCCCATCTTTAAAATCATTTGTTTTAAATTTCGACATGAATATTCAAACTAAATTTTTTCGTTAGACTTCCCTAACTTCATGCAAAGCAAATTCAGACAAAATATTGTCTAACCAAATAAAAAATGCTGTTACTAATTTTATACGGGTAATTATTATAAAGCAATTTTTTATCAGAATCTTGATTGAGATAATAAATATTTATTATTTATTAACATTAAGTATAGCACAATAACAATTTATAGCAATGAGCCAGCACAAAATATTTAAGGTTTGTAATATATTTTAAATGTTAAAAGTAGAAAATAAATAACTAAACAAATAATGAAAAAATTTATGAATAAAAATAAATAAAAAATTTTTCAGAGTTTCAATTGTCAAAAGTCTACCTTGACGTCAAATACTAAAACTTTTATGAATAAAATGCGTTTCAAAAGAATCGCCAAAGTTTGTAGATTGCAACATAATTTGAAGACTCAAAGTTTTTGAGTTTAATAAAGAAAGCAAGCTTTGGCTAAAACTACAAGATTAGTTTTTCTTGGTATGCATTCATTATTTATTTTTAATCAAAAAAACTTGGTTCAAACCTTTTTTTTTAACATTATATTAAATATGAACACAACATGTGTTGGGAGTTTAGGATCTTGTGATCTTAGTGTTGAATATTATCTTCCTGTCAATCACTGACTACACTTTCAGTGTAGTCAGTGCTCAGTTTCTCTACATTTACCCTTAGGTGTTTCTGATTACGGTTTGGTCTAAAACTAGTATCTCATTCTCTTCATCATCAGAATCTCCCTATCATCATAGCTCTTACAACAACCTTAAAGCTGACTGGGACTCTTTCTGTGATTTTCTTTGTGGGTAGAAACCTTTTGTCTTCATGCTGTCAAATGCGCTATTTATGTAACTTCTTGGGTTCAGGCTGGCATGGAATCTTTTATTCTCTCTCAATGATTCCAACTAAAGCCTCGCTCTTCTCCATGGTTTTCCTCGCATTGTGCTGATGTAATTTCCAATCAACACCATTACTTCCATACACAGTGGGCCCAGAGGTGGAAATACAAAAAAAAAATTTTCTTTGAGAAAGTCTATACAAATTATTTATTCGGAAAGTCAGATAAGTTTTTGGATAAATAAAAAAAACTTATGCATTCGGCTAATTTCTAATTGATGATATATAATTTTGAAGTAATTTCCAAACTATTTTTGTATTTACAGAAATTTGTGAAATTTGGTTGGTTTTCATTTAAAATGAATTTATCAACATGAAAGTTGCTAAACCACTTATTTAAAAGTTGTTTTTAATTTGATATGGAATATATTTTTGAAAAAATAATTTAAAATGTATAGTTTATTTGAATTACTCTTTTTTTATTGAGTTTTTTAAACTTAACTAGGTAATTTTGTTGTAAATTTATGTTGTTGTTTTTTTTTACAAAAAACAGGTAATTTTTTAATATTTTTTTTCAAAAGTGCTAACTTGCCTCTACTGTGTTAAGCATTTTTTAAATATATTGCATTTCTTTTTTTCAAATATTTTAGTGGGAACTGAGACAAGTTAGCACTTTTTTAAATTTACAGTATTTAAAAAGGTTGAACAGTGACTATTTTTTCTTTCTTAAAATATGAGTATTTCATTTTTTAGTTAAAAATATGAAAAATATTCAATTTTATATGTTTATTTGATTTGATTTTGTTTGTGTTTAGCATAAGTAAAGTCAACTAAAAAACGATGGAAATGATGGAAAATAAAAATATGAAATACATCAATAAAGTTCACCCAATTCACCCAATTTATAAAAGCAGGCTAAACTATTAAGGCAAACTCAGTTAAATATTCTGCCACAAAAGAAATACTTTGAAAATGTGTGTGAAAAAGCATGGAAATGTTATAAACGCCTGAAAGAAGCCCATTAAAAAAAAAAAAGGATATGCATTTATAACTTCACAATCATCAAAATATACTATTAATGAAGTTGAGGATGCTTACAGGACCGTGTGTTTCAAATCTGAAAAAAAACTTTTATAGAACTGGGTTAATAAGATAAAAAAGGAGAGAACACAGATGTCAATTGCATAAACAACTTTATCACTAACGAGTGCCCAGAGTTGCATGTTAACCAGTTATTGGGTTACCTCTTATATAGTAATTAGACATAAACAACAGGTAACAAGTAATAAGAGTACTGCTTGACAATGCACTTTTTAAAAAACCATATGGAAAACAATAGCACCTTTAGCACATTGATTCCAAAGCTTTAATGCATTTCCTTACACTAAGGAGCAAATTAAGATTTGTTTTTGTTTCACTAACTAAAATTTGTTTTTGCTACACTAAGTAAGGAGCAAATTAAGATTTGTTTTTGCTTCAAAAAACATCTAAATTCCAACAACCAATGAATTGTTTGAAGGAAGAAAAAAACTGCGCCCTACAATTAATTATATTTTGGTTGGAAAAGGTGTTTCTATTCAATACAAAAAACTTGAAAGAATTACAACTAATTCTGTTTTAAATATAATTAAAGATTTTTTTAATCCATCAGATAAACTAGGAGGGGCAGATTGTATACCGTGCAAAACAAAAACTATTGAAAGGACAGAGCTATTGAAGGTTTGTTAGAGTTAGTAAATTCTGATCATCAGAAGAAACACATATGCTGAAAAACTGTTTTATAAGGTTATAAGATGTTATCACTCGTAGTAACACAGGAGATTTTTTCCACACAAAAAGGACTTAATAAAAAACCACAAACCAAATCTGAGCAAAAAAGCATATGTATTCTACATTCATATATAAATGGGACTAACTTGGTATTTAAACTATTCTATCGGTGTCATATACATTGAAGACTCTGGGTTGAAAAAACAGAACTGCTTGGTAAACCAATACATAATGCAAGAGACAGGTTATAAAACAAACAAGAGACAAGACAAGAACAACTTTGAAAAATTCTTTTAGTATTACAACTTTTTAATACTAATTTGAGTCGTTTAAATATGAAAATCTTTAGTTTGTCGAAGTTTTTACTTACACTCCTTACGTTTATGTGTATTGCCTTGTTTTCATTAGGTTGAATTTTTAAAATGCTGCAAAATATTTATATTTAAATCTTTTGAAATATTTTTGAAGAAAAACTGCTATCACAGTTTAAAATGGAGAGGGGTTCAGGTATATGTGATCGTTTGTGACAGGAGGGAAGGGGTTAAAAATTGAAAAATATAGGGTGACATGCTTTATGGATGACTAATATTACATTTAATATTCTTTCGCATATATTATTAAAAAACTTTAGTTTTTTAACTAAATTTTATAACAAACGAAACTTTATCATATTTTTGTTAACTTACGTTACATGAAAATTGCAAAAGTTCATTTGTTATTTTCTTAGAATATATATATTTTATAAAGTATAAAATCTGACCAACAACAATTTAAACATGTTAGCTCCATTTTCACGCTAATTTCATGGTTATAATAACATTTTACAATGATACCTTTTTTATCATGCGACAATGAGAAAAACCGTAACTTTCAGAAGCATAAAAATGACTTAAATTAATATTAGTGCTAAAGGTATATTTTAAATAAACTTTTATGTGTCTACATCAATATTCATTCGCTAAAAGTTGAAGAAAAATTGAATAAAATTTGACTAATTTTTCATTTTGCGCTGTGGAATTGCCCATATATATATATATATATATATATATATATATATATATATATATATATATATATATATATATATATATATATATATATATATATATATATATATATATATATATCGATGGTTAAGAGCACAAAGGGAATACGTCCACTAACCATTGTTTTGAGAAATCTGAATTTAAAAGTTTGAAAACATACAATAATTCTTGATATTTATTTATTGTCATGATTTTTAACCAAATGCATTCCTCAATTAATTCTGTCTTGTTTTTTACTATTTTATTTTCATTTCTTTTACATACTTTAATACCTAATTTGTTTAATGTTTACCTAATGTTTAATGTTGGACATATTCCCTTTGTGCTCTTAACCATCGATATATATATATATATATATATATATTTATATATTTATATATTTATATATTTATATATTTATATATATATATATATATATATATATATATATATTTATATATATATATATATATATATATATATATATATATATATATATATATATATATATATATATATATATATATATATATATATATATATATTAGGGTGGTCCAGAACTATATAGGAAAAGTTCAAAGTGTTCGTAACCACTCTCCGCAAGCCTAACTTTGTTTTACTTAATCGGACCAATTTAAACAATTTTAAGGGTCAATAGAGTTTCAATGTTTTTTTTTTTGTATCTTTTGCTTGTGTTCAGTTTAATTGTTATTTTTTAGGTGGTTCAGGCTATACTATGATATCAGCATTATGTTTATTTTGCTGATATTATAGTATGATAACCATATTTTTTCTGCCTTTTTTTATTTTTATTTTTTCTTTTATTACCATAACAACTATTGAGAAAATATCTTTTTTTGTTTAAATAAATTAATGCAGTAAGGTATTGTCTGTTGGTAAAATCTATTACTTTTAGATTAGCAAATGTCATATTTTATATCAGAAGTTAGTTTTTGGAGACTTTAATCTTTAGAGAAAATCTTTAACAGTGTCAATAACATTCCACCTCTCATGCAGGGATCTGATTTTATTATTTTTTCCAAGGGTAGTGCAGAACTGTTTTCAATAGTTTTTCTCTAAAATATCTCATGAATCTATTGACCACACTCTTCCTGACATACCAAGGAAACAAGTTAATCAATTGGTTGATTTCAAAATTACTTTAGCTTCCATTGCTAAAGTTATTTCTTGCTTATACTTTTCTACAGCTTATGGTCCTGACAGCATTCTTGTCACATTCTTCAAAAAAGTTATTCAACAAGTACTTATACAATTCTGTCAGTAAGTTGTATCTGTGATTCCAATTTTACATAAGCCCTAAAGATCACTTAATTTCAGGGTCTTAATTTCAGTTGTTAACTATTAACTTCTAATTTCTACTGTTGATTTTCTAACTTTAATATCACACTGTAATACAATTAATTGACTATTTGTTATATTAGTTTTATTTTAACTTTAAAAATACAGTTCAAAAAAAAAAATTTAGTTTTTTTTTTTTTTCTTTTTTTTTTTTTTTTAATTTAATATTTAGTTTTTATTACTTTAAAAAAAAAAAAGTTTTTTAAAATTGTTTTTAAAAAATGATAGTTGTAAAACATAATATTTATTTTTATTTACTATTCAAGAATTTATTGTGAGTTGCACAAGTATAATGCCATTAACATAACTATAACCCAATTAATTAATTCGACATTAAAACTTTTTGTAATGTTTATTTTTTGTTCATTTTGTTTTACAGATCTGCAAAGAAGTTGAAAAGTATAAACCACGCCAGATGACAATTTCATGTTTTTATGGTGGTGCACCGTATGACAAACAAGAACAAGAATTGAGAAATGGTATTGACTTTTTAGTTGGAACCCCTGGAAGAATATTAGATCACATAAACAAAGGAAGATTAGATGTCTCTAAATTACAGTGAGTTAAAATTGTGATGAAAGTAATGAGTTTATTTTTTTCTTATGCAAGTTTATTTATGTGGTACATATCATTATTTGTAATTCCTTTCTTTTGAATAATTCTTTAATTTTAAATTTTTTTCTTTCACTAAATTTAATCATCTTATTATCATCTTTTTTATTGTACATTTGCTGTTTCTACTGCATCTTTGCTATTACTGTTTCTACTGCATCTTTCCAATTGCCTTTGATTTGAAGTTGTTCTGATTCCATTCTTTTTTTGTATAGATATTAGATTTACATTTACTACAAAAAAGTGTTTATAAAAGCCTTATGAATGGATGTAGAGTTAATTATAAATTTTTTAAGTTAATTAAAATTTTTTTAAAAATTTTAAGTTAATTAAAAGTTTTAAAAGTTTTTTCATTTTGCGATAAACAAATTATAGTTAAATTAAATTTTGATTAGATTTATTTGTTTTAGCTAATGCTCTTTTTTTAAAAAAATTAAATTTAGATATGTAATACTTGATGAAGCTGACCGTATGATGGATATGGGTTTTCAAGAATCAATGGAGGAAATACTGTCATATGCTTACACTGAAGGTAAGCTTCCCCATTTATCAGGTTTAATCAATTTAACCAATTGTCACCTATTTTTTTGTACACAACAGCTACAACAACTGATTTATTTTCAAAAGTTAGAAGTATTAGGTTAAGCAAACATAAATAATCAGAAATAGCTTTAAGTTACATAGAAGCCAAAATAAATTCACTAAAACAAAGTGGATCCCAATCAGTATCTTTAATAGTGTGATATTTCTCAAAACAAGAATTATATATATAAATATATTATTCTTACATAAGAGATTAGTTAAAACATTAGAAATATATTTTATTAAGTTTATAAATTTTAGTTAAAAATCCTAATTTATTGATTTTAATATAATGATACAGTATGTGTACTGCTTTTTGTTGCACCACATTTTATACATATATATTTATAAATATTTATTATTTAGATAATAAACCACAAACATTACTATTTTCTGCTACAGTTCCAGCATGGCTACAGAAAAATTCAGAGAAATATTTAACAAAAAATCTTAAGAAATTTGATTTAATTGGTCGCGATAAAAACAAAGGGGCTACTACTGTGGAAGTAAGTTTATTTTTTCAATGTGTACAAATGTATGCATATATTAAGTAATATGTTATATATATTAAGTAATATATTAAGTAACATTGTTTTGTATAAGTTTATGAATATATGAAGCTTTTATTTTCAAACCGCGTTAAGTCCATTTAGAAAGATTTTGAGAAAATTGTAAAAAAAGTTTTAATCAACTATTTTTTAATCATTGCAAAAGATTTTAGAATTATTATATAAAAAATAATTATAAACATTAAAACAATCTCATTTTTATAGTATTTTAGTTCAGCATTTTAAAACATTAATTTTATTAACTCAATTCTGTACTTAACTTTTTCATCTTTACTTTCAACTTCACCAAACAAAGATATTATACTTCCAGTTGAGAGCCTATTTTTAGGCTCTCAAATCTGCAAGTTTTTTCCATTAAAAAAACATTTGGTTTCAATAATAGATAATTTCTCTCACGGCAGAGTTTTTAAACAGTTCAGTTTTACATAATCAGATAGGGTTTTCCCCTTTAAAAATAGTCTGCAGTGGTTATAAAAAACGTTCACTGTAGCATGTTTTTTTTTTGTTCAACATATTGTGAACGTATTTAAGTTAGAATAAACTAGTGTAATAAAAATAGTAATTAATCAAAGGGAACTTATTACTTTTATTAAAAAAACAGCAAAGTATATGTTTTCTTTTACAATCTGCAATTTATTAGTACTATTTATCACAAAATCACAAGAATAAAGTAGTATTTTTGAGATTGAATTTATATTTTATTATATTAATTTATACTATAATTAATTTATACTTATAAATACCGTTTTTAAAATGATCTAATATATATTTATTATATTGATATTAAAAAATTGAATCTTATATTTTCGTTTCGCAAAAGGGAAACCCCAAACATACTCTACATGTTTAACTTGATTTTTTAAAAGAAACTTTTTTTTATTGACGTCAAATATTAAATATAAAAACGCATTAATCAGACCGGATTAAAAAAATATTCAAATAGTCAAAGAGCTGGATCTTTCCTTCGCAAGAAACAAAATGGCATTAAAAATTAAAAGTTTTTTGTTAATATCTTATTCAATAATTTGTTTTGAAAGGTTTAGTTAACATTTAACTTATTTTCTAATGTTTATTTTTGATATGAACACAACTTGTCTCAACGCTTGGGGATCCCTTTTAAGAAAGAAAATATAGATTTTTGAACTTTTTTTTTGGTGGCTCAACTGTTGAACACTTTGTACAAAAGGCAATTCTCTTAAATTTCTCACTAAAACATAAGTTGCCAGTTTTTCCCAGAGTTGCACAAATATTGCAAACAAAAACAGCGCACTTCATGCAAGTATACTTTGTATTTCTTTCGTAACAAACGGAGCAAACTGTTTCCATATTTTTTATTTAATATCAAGCTCTAGGTTGGAATAGTAACAACACATCATTAAAAATATTTTAATAATATATTTATTATTAAATTTTAAAAATAAAAAGTTTTGTTTACAAAATTTAATGAGATAAGAAATAAGTTTAATTAAAAGTAACAAATAGATTTACCTAACCAAAATTTCAAAATCAAATCGAGTTTCTAGATCAGATCTATAGTAAACAGATAAATTTGTTTTTTACAAAATAATAGAATATACGGGGAAGCTCTTGTAAAAATGAAAAGGAAAAACGTAACAAAGATGTTGATGTTAACCCCCGTTAAAAAAAGCGCTTCTCATTAAATAAAATTCTTGCGGCATAATCTCGTTTCCAATTATACAGAAAATATCTCCACGAATGACAAACTTCATCACTTTGTGCACACTTTCGTTTTCTTGTGCATTTTTGGTAAACAAATAAAATAAAAAATGAAGTTTATATACAATACTAATATTTCAATAATTTTCAAATACCAAAAACATTTATAAGAACAATTCACTAAAATTATAGGTCGGGCAAAATGACCGGTTTGTGAAAATTTTTACCAGACAAGTGTCGGAAAATGTCCGATGTCTGGCACCTATTTCAAACCCTAGTCTAATAGAATGCTCTATTAAATCAGGTAGACTGAAATATAGGCTTTTTATTGGTTTATATAATAGGCTTTTTATTGGTTTTGTCATTGGTCTTGCAAAACTAATAATAATAAAATTGTTTATTAAAGTTATTATTTTTTGTTTAAATATTTTCTTAACAATATATATAGATTTGTTAATTAGTTGATATCTTAAACTAAGATTTGTTTGAAGGTTGATAAGTTAAAATATATTTGTTTATTAGTTACCAAATATAATTATTTTAGTATAACTTTTCTTTTATTATGTCCCATATATATTTTTTTTAATTTTAAAGTATTTTCTTATTGTATTTATAGCACAAAGCAATAAAATGCACATACTGGGATAGACCATCTACAATTAAGGACATTATACAGGTTTGTCTTTTTTTTTTTTTTTTTTAATTTACTTTGTTTTAAACAAATAATCAATTGTATGAATTATTTTAGATATTTTTGTTAAACACAGTTTGTGTACAATAATATATAATTATAAACAAGTAAATAGTAAATATGTAAAAGTTTACTAATCCCTGTTCATACTATGATAAAACACTTTTTATATTGAAGCGAATTAAATTATTATTGTGAAATGCTGTATAAAGCAACAATAAAACACTACTGTGAGGTCATTTTGTCAATATGAAAAGCTTGTGTTAATATAAAACAAACTTAGCCATGTTGTTTTATTGCTGTTTTATACAGTTTAAAACATAAAAAACATTAAACACTTTTAAAGTAAGATGTATTTTTTTGTTAGTATGAACAAGGTATAAGTTAAGTTAACTAAAGCAACTTTAAAAAATTTGTTTCATGGTCATTAAAGATTTATGTATTTTGCACAGTACTTCGGGTCTTACAAAAATATATTATATGGTGATTTTGTAATGGTGATATCCACTTTTCTCAGTAGACTTAAACTGAGTGGTAATGTTGATAAAATTTAATTTAAAATGATCAAATTATTCAAGTATTCTATTGTTTCAATATGCTTCATTTAATATCTTGAATTAGTTTTCTTTTTTTATTTGATGCAAGATTTTTGTGCATAAGGAATGAAAATATGGATAAAAAATTATTTGTAAACAATCTGAAATATAAAAATAAAACTGAATTAAAATAAAATAAAAGTGCAAAATAATATTTTGTTGTACAAAAACAAGTCCTAATTTTTTTTAAATAAATTTTTTTTATAGTTTTTAAATGTTTTAAAATCTTTAATAAAAATGTTGATGGGTTTTTTTATTTTCCTTTTGATGACTCTTGCTGTTGATATTGCTGTTGCTATTGTAAAGACGCACCTCGTGTTACAGAGTTCTTATTTTACCAAACTTGTGGTAGTTTTTAAAACCATCATCATTTGTCTCTTCTTCTCTAATTTTGATATAAAATAAGTTACAACTTTATAAGTATAAACATTATAATTTACCATTCAAGCTTTACCAGTTAGCACACCAGAAGGTATACATTTATGCCTGATTAAATAGTGGATTAGGTGTCTAACTACAGGATTGTGTCAGGCAGTAGAGATAAAAATGTAAAATAAATCTGATCTTGGCACAAATTTTAAAACCTAATGTTTTAGTTGTAGTAAACTCATCTCTTTATTTGCAACTCTTCTTGACAACCACCACATGTAAAAAACCACTCTTCTTGACAACCACCACATGTAAGAAACCGCTCTTCTTGACAACCACCACATGTAAAAAACCACTCTTCTTGACAACCACTACATGTAAAAAACAACTCTTCTTGACAACCACCATATGTAAAAAAACAACTCTTCTTGACAACCACCACATGTAAAAAAGCAATGAAATACAGGTGTTCTTATTTTAATGCATTGTTATAGAAACCTAAAACAATGCATTGAAAATAAGAACACCAGTATTTGAAAAAAAAAATGCTTATACTTATGGAAATATGAATCAGCATTGAATTATCCTTTCAACAAAATATAAAAAGCTTATTTTTTTAGAAATAGCTTATTTGATTCTAAAAAAATTTCAATTATATTTTTATATTTAATCACTTTAATTTTAACTATTTCTTCCAATGCCATATCCAATTAATACTCTAATACAAATCTTGAACAAGTTTTTATCTAGGTTATTAGAAAAGAAAAGGAAATTTTGAGAAGAAAAGAAAAAGTTTTTAGAAGGGTTGAAAATTTTTGTCAAACCTGTGGACTAAATTAAGGAAAAACGGAAGCAAGTTTCCATTTATGTTATTTAAATTGTTTTGTAAATAACTTTATCTTTTTTGTGTATGTATCTTCAAAAATTGCTGTCATTAAATGTTATAGTTGTTGCTGGTAGTGGCTTCTTGTAATACATCTTACAATTTTTAGTTGTTATCTCAATTAAATTAAATTACAAAAGCTTTTGTAAATTTATTTAATTCTGTTACTATAGCAGCATAATTCTGTTACTATAGCAGCATGAAAATTGAAAATGCTTAAACTGCTTTTGTATAACAAAATAAGCTTTCTTTATATACAATAAAAAGAATCTGATAAGAAAAGTTCAGATATAAAAATAATATTAAAAAAAAATGATAATAAAGCATGACAAAAAATTGAGGTATTGTTAAAAATAACAAGTAATAACAATAATTTCAACAAATATAGGTTGGACTCAAAAGTCTTTAGTCAAATATAATTAGCAATGACTTGGGAAATACTTAATGAATTAATTCCAAATTTCTTTTATAATAACCTTTTTATATACATATCCTTACATCATTTCACAATCACATGTTAATTTTTCATATTTTGAGAGATTGAGAGAAAAATTATTTTTTATTTATTATAAATAAATAAAAATTAAGAGTGTGGTGCCATTACATTAATTATATATAAATACATATATTTTTGAAAATTTTTATTTATTTTACTTTTTAAACCAATTTTATCTAATATAAATGTTCAATAACTTGTAAAATGGCTTTTTTTTTTTTTTTAAATCAACTTTTTCTTTGACTTGAACAATATTTTTTTGACAATCAGTTATGTGTTGTAAAAAAATTTTTTTGAATAAGTATTGCAATATAAATTATTATTATTATTATTATTATTATTATTATTATTATTACTATGTCATGATTTCTTTTTAATTAAATTAACAGTGAAGTGTTATAAATATGTTATATAGTTTTTACATTTTCTACTCTTTTTTAACCTCTTTAAACAAGATTAATTTTTTAGTCTTATTTTTTTAACTAGCAATATAGTGGAAAGTTTGGAAAAACAATAATTTTTACATCAACAAAGCAAGAAGCAAACGAACTGGCATTGAACTCTGTAATAAATATGGTGTGTTTTTAGATTTAAATATTTTCAGTAAAAGTTATAAAATCAATGACTAGTATATATTTAAGAAACAAATATTTCTAATTCTATTTATGGTTTTAAGGATTCTCAAGTTTTGCATGGAGATATTCAACAAAAACAGAGAGAGCTTACTCTTCAGGTTTTTTTTTTTTTTTTTTTTTTTTTTTTTTTTTTATGTATATATAAATTTTTCCTTTTATCAATGTAGGTTTCTTCGCAATATATACTAAATAGCAAAGGTTACACAGAGATATTTTATACCATGCTAGCAAATGATACTGCATACAAGAACCTACCTTATGAACCTACTATAGAAGTAATATGAAACATTAACAACGTGATTGACTATTGTCTAAAGAGGTGATTGACAAGAAGATAGCCAGTTGTATGCGTCCAAGTACCCCATGTTGCCCCTCTGTTTTTTTCTAAAAACTCATTTAAATATCAAACAGTTGTTTTTTAATTTAAATAATAGAAAGTTGGTAAGTTTCCATTCTTTACTTCTGCAACCATAAGTGCATATCACTTTCTATATAGTCAATTTCTAATTTTATCTGAATAGTTCCTGAGGCTGAGAAAGCAACTACAACGTTATTACTACTTTTTATTTACTTGATACCAATCCTCTCCCAATCCTATAATTCTGAAGAATGAACCTTAAGAAATAAGTCCCAGGGAAACGATAATGATTAAACTTGGTATTTCTTGCTTAAGAAGCAAGCACTCTACTACTATACTACTATCCCATATCACAAGAATTTAAAACCATAATACCACTTTTTCACTTATTTGGGTAACGCCCAAATTAAAATTTGAGGACATTTTTTTTTTTAAGTACATTTTTTTTACATTTTTATGGCAAATATCGTGAAAACCTCTGATTTTCCGCTAAAGTTTGTCTAAATGGGGGGTACCGCCGCCCAAATTTTTTCCTAGAATAGACCCTGATAATGAAGTACTATTATAGAAACTTTGATATAAATAATTTCATAAATAGTTGCTGTAGTAGTTGAAAATGTATTAGTAGTTTCAGCAGTTGTTAATGTTGCTTTAGTTGTTTTAGGTAAAGAAGTCAGTTCAATATAATTATTTTCAATAGTGACATGATAATATTGTGACAATAGGGTACTGCTATGGTTCTAAAAATAGATTTAGTAAATTTTTCACAAAGCTTTTTGAGACCAAAATGCAGACAAACAATACATAATGCAAAGAAACTTATTCAGAAGAAAATGTGTATAAAAGTGTTATAAAACATTTATTCTCATCAAAAGCATCCTTGAACGTTTGCCAGCTGGTGTTATTTAAAAAAATAATTACCTTAAATGTTTGCCAGCTGGTGTTATTTTAAAAAGTAGGAAGAATTGAAGATTCGATCACTAACTTGAAAAAAAGGATGAAAGAAAAATAAAGCTTTAAAAGTTATATATTAAAACAAAAAAGTTTACATCTTGTAAATTCTCTTGTGGATAAGAATAAAATAATATTAACATAGGTAATACATATAATTAACATATAATATGTAATACAATATTTATATTGCACTGTTTTTAAATGTGTTAAAAGTTTACAAAAGAATAGGTTATGCAATCAAAAAGAATTGTAAAAAGCATGAGTTTATTTTGAACAATTCAATGAACATTTGTATTTAGATTGAAATAAAAATAAACAATTTACTCAAAATTTGGGATTATTTGATGGAGTAATGCTTTATTTATTGGCACTAGAATCTAGATATCTTATCATCATTTTCAAATTAGGAAATGTGATTTTGATTAGTGATTTCACACCTAAGTGATATGCAAAGTAAAACATATTATTCGGTACGACACAAACAAAAAATGCTATCTTGACTATTTTTAATGTTAGCACCAATTTTAACCGAATTTTAACCAGGATTAACGATGTTTTGTTTAAAGTTTTTATTCTTTTTCAAAAATTCTAGTAATACTATATGTAATACTAGTAATAGTGTTGTTGTTTTTTAAAACCACAATTTTTTTTTTTTTTCAGCAACACGCCATGGTGGGACTTGACAAATGTATAAAAACCAAAGTTAAAATTTTGATGTCATAATGGTTTTAAACCATTATAAAGATATTACTGAACTTTAATTTCCAGATTTATGAATGAATATATTATATAATTATATATTTTTAATATTTGGTATTATATAGCTAGTATTAGGATTTATTATTATAATTTTTGTATTTATTATTATTATTTGTTATTATTATAATTTTTATATTTATTATTATTATTATTATTATTAAATAATATTATAAAGTAACATCACTAGAATTAGTTGGTTTATAGTTGGTAAACTTTTAACAATGCTTGTGTGCTTGAATATTTTTGTAACATTAAAATATTTTTTTTTCAGCTGTTTATTTGTTTTGTAACTTTTTCTCTAATTGCATTTTTTTTTCTTTTTTTTTGTGCATATAAACGTTCTTTTGTTTAATCCTTACACAAGTACTAATATGAAAAAAAGTAAATTTAAAAATATTAAAAACCATTTTGAACAATTTTTTCTGAGTTGAAATTTAAACTTTCTTAAAAATTTTTGATTAAAACTTATTCATAAACATTTTTGCAAACTAATTTTAATTGGTCGCAACTTTTAAAAAGAATTTTATATACATATCAACTAAATATATTTTTAATATTTTTATTTTAAAAATATTACCTCTAAACATTGACTGTTATATTTATAACAGTCAATGTTTAGTGAGCTGGGCAATATTTTTCTGACCTTTTCAAATCCTTTTTGTTTAATTGTTTACTCTCAGTTGCTCAATATGAAGGAGGAATAGTTTGTTAAGTTTTGGAAAATATACCCACCATGAGTATATTTAGATTCATTGAATTTATTATTTTATTAAAGTTCAATTACTGCCTAGAAAACCATTTGATAAAGATGAAACTTCCAAGTGTTCAGGTTTTATCAAAATGTCAAATTTAAACTAACTGATCAAAATGAAAACTTTCATTGAAATCTAAAAATTTACTAATACTAATCAAGAATTCAAAAGTTATTGAGAGTATTAAAAACTGGTTAACTTGTATTGTTTTTATTATACATTTTTGAGTTGTTTGTCTGCATTTCGATCCCAGAATCCTTAGTTTTTATTTAATATTTGCATGACAAAAGCAAAACGTTACCCTAATGTTATAGTGTATTTATGGTGTATGATAGTGTTTAAATAAATTTAAGTACATGTTTATCACTGCTCATACTTTTTAGGTTAAAGTTGTTTTTATTTTAACCTTTTTTAAACCACCTTTTTAAAAACTAAGTTTTAGAATTTGTGTAAGCAAATAAGTAACAAGATTTAAGATTTATTTTTCTTGTTTCAAAATATTGACTTTCTAACACCTTTCACTGGATAAAGAAAAGATGGCTTTCTGGATTTTTAAACAACATTTAAAAGTAAAACAAGCATCAGAAGAAGAAAATATTAGAAAGTTACAAAAAAAAAAAGTGTCCTGTTATTACTCAAAAAATTGCCCCCCTTACCCCATCCTTTGTCACCAGCCTGAAGATATTTTACAGAACAATACAAAAAGCTATATAATTTTATATTAGTCATTTAAAGATTATTAAGAATTGAAGGAATTATTAAGAATTTATCCTTATATAAACTTAGAAATTTCTTTTTTCACTTTTTTAATTTCACTTTATAATTTCTTGCATATTTTTTATAATAACATAATTGCTAAATTGAATAATTGCATAATTAAAAAAATAGTCAATTTTGCAAAAAAATAATTATTTGTTATAATCAAACAGTTCTTTTAATTAGTTACTGTTCTGAAAGTGTCTTACTTTTAATAGAGTTTTAGAAATGGAAAGTTTAACTGTCTCATTGCTACAGATGTTGCTGCTCGTGGGCTTGATATACCTGAAGTTGACTTGGTTATTCAAACAGAACCTCCAAAAGTATTTTCTGTTATTTTTTATAGTAGAAACATTAACATATTTAGAATTTTGTGATTACTTTTTTTTTTTTTCTTTAGGATGTTGACTCTTACATCCATAGAGCTGGAAGAACTGGACGTGCTGGTCGTAAAGGTGTTTGCATTATATTTTACAAACCTGGTCAAGAATATGGAGTTGCTGCTGTTGAACACAAAGCTGTACGCTTTAAATTTTAACTTCTTTCAGACAAATATTTGAACTAAAGTTGTCATAAAATTATTTATTATTATTAAAGGTTAATTATATTTACAAACAACTAATTTACTAATATAATTGGAAAAAATCTACAAAAGTTGCTACTATCTATTACTGTATAATGTTTTCATCGTTTGCAGAGCTTTTTAGTTATTACTTAGATTTATAGTGCATTTAATATTTATCTAGTTTCTAGAAAAAATATTTTTAAAAAAATATTTTTGTTACTGTCTATTACTGTATATTTTTTGTATTATGTTATATTTTTTATATTATGTTACGTGTTACTGTTAGTTGCATTAAAATAAAACTAATAAATAAAAATAATAATACTAATATAAAATCAAAAAAAAAAAAAAAAGTTGGATAAAATGAAAAAAAAAAATCATATTTTTCAAACAAAATGGTTTGACAAAATAATTTTTTAAGCTTTTTTTTTTAGTACTTTTTAGTAAAAAGTTACCCCTTTTTATCTCTAAATAAAATGATTAAAAACAAGAAAGTTATTCACCCTGAAATTTTAAGTTCTTGCTGAGAAATTGAGTAAATTCAAATGGTTTTTAACTGAGGATGCTAATGATGCAAAAAATAGGGTTAGTTCATGTTTATGTCAAATAAGAATGCTTTGCAAAAAATTTTGATGCTTGGTATTTAATTTAAATTTAGTATATTAAAGTTTATATGGTCAGGGAAAATCAGGGGCAGAAGTTTCTTTTTTAACTGGGTAAGGAAATCCACTTGGTGGTCAGATAAAACAATTTTCTCAGTGAGTCTGAAGAAAAAAATCTCAATTTCTTTAACACCTGGGATTGTGATTTTTGTAAACATTTCTTGGATTTCGAATATTGTTATTAGTACAGTTTAAATTTGATTATATCCCTTTAAGAATAGCGTATTTTGCTGAAATTTTTTATTTTTATGATATTTTTCTTCTGATTTGACAATCTACCATCTAATATTTGTCAAAATTTTATAAAAATTAAAATTTGTTATCTTTATTATTTATTGTATATTTATTATATACTGTGTATTTTAAATAATTGTAGAACTTATTTCTAAATAAATTTAAATCTTTACTAATAATAGACTATAATATAATAATATATATATATATATATATATATATATATATATATATATATATATATATATATATATATATATATATATATATATATATATAGTAATTATAAAAGTAATTTTTTTGGTTGATTCTAATTTTTTAATTTGCTCAATACAAAATTAGAGCAAGTATATATAAATTAATTTATAATTAAAAGGTAAATATATTAGTAAAATTATATTGGAAAACATCAACAATAAAATGAGAAATGCAACCCTTGTAAACCAATGGCATAATATGGATAACATAGTAAACTAATTCCGCAATGTTAAAGACAACATCACTCTACTTTCATCCAGTTTGATATTAAAGAGTTCTCTTCTTTCATCTCTATAGAATTACTTCAAGATTCACTTATTTATGCCAAACAATTTACAAAAATCTCAAAAAAAATTAAGTTATATAAATCACTCAAGAAAATCATTACTTTTAACTGATAACAATAGTTTGTGTCCAAAAATTTGGAGATCCTAATTTTAGGGTCACTATGGGAAGTTTCGATAAGGCCTTGATAAGGTTTTCATGGGATTAATGGACCACATTCCAAGAGAATGTAAGAACCAACATCGCAAAAAAAGTTTTAAATCTAATTGAAAAGCATTTTCCAAAAACACAATTTTCGCAAAACTTTTGATTAGAATAACTTAAAAGTCAGTTATAGCTGTCTTTTTAACATAACTAATATTATTAATTCACACAATAAAAATTTTTTATCCGCTTCTAATGTATTTGTTCCAATATCTAACTTCACAATGTCCTTTGCAAGGTATGTGTCTTAGTAAAAATGTAATTTATGTCTGCAATGTAAAAACATCATCTTTAAAACTACTACTATAAAAGCTACTTTCAATATAAAATAAAGCGAGTTCTCAGAACTTTCTAAAATCACAGCAAAAAATTACTCAGCATAATTAAAGCTTCTTACATTTTTTAATTTGTTGCAAAACAATTACACAACACTAATTTTAAAATTTTGTTAAAATAAATAAATTTATCACTTACAAGTTTATGATAATTCAGTAATACAGTATTTTTTACACACAGGTAGTGTGTTAGATATACCTCTGACAGGTTATATGCGTACTAGGGTGGAGCGATTTTCATAGCAAAAAAAAAAAAGTTTAAAAATCAATATTCCTGAGACACGAATCGATGTCTATTAATTATAAGATAAAAGTAAAAAAATATTTTTCGGTTTTGATAAGATCTTGAGGTTCCTCTTTGGATTCTAAATCCTTGACGGATCCTAATATTTTTGAATTTTTTTTTTTTCTAAACTATACCAACCTTGGACTCAAAAAAAGCAGAAAAAAATGCTTGTTTTATCAATAATAATTTTATTTAAAAAAAAATTTTTAGTAAAAAAAATATTTGCAAAAATATACCTTAAAACCCCCGTTTTGATAAAGACGGGGGTTTCTTAATGAAAAAAAAACGACATTATTTTTTTCTTTTCAGTTTTAAATTAAAACAAATATTATATTCAAAATAAGCGTATTATTCTGCTTCTTTTGAGTACCAGGTTAAAATAGTTTAGAAGAAAAAAAATTTCAACAATATTAGGATCCGTCATAAATTTAGAATTCAAAGAGGAACCTCTAAAACTCATTTATATTTTAAAAAAAAAAGTAAGGCTCTTTTTTCACCAAAAGACATCGATTCGCAGCTCAGGCAAATCAAATTTCAAAAATTTTTAAAATCGCTCCACCCTAATGCGTACATTTGATTTCATCTTTCTGCCATTTTGCTTCATTAAAAAAAACCTAAAAACTCTAATTTTCATATTAACTTTACTTTCCAATTGCTTAAATAAGTAAATTTCATATAAAATAAGTAAATAAAATAAAATATATATAAATAAATAAAATATATATATATATAAATTAAATATTAAATAAGTAAATTTAAAATTTATAAGAAACTACTTTTTAACAGTATGTGATTTAAAATTTTGAATTCATGAAAAGTTTAATAGCAAAGACTCTTGATGAGCCATCAGTTTCATCTATAAGGTTAATGATTACTTTCCTTGATTCAACTTTTATTTCCTTTTCTAATAAAAGAAGAGAATTGGCATTTGAAGAAGATAATTGGAAAAAAAAAGTTCGAAAGTGCTCAGTTTTTAATTAAGAAGCTGCAAAAAAAAAAAAGCATCCAATACAAGGTGTGGCCATTAGAGAAGTCTAATTAAAAAATTTACTAATTCAACTCAAATCAAATTTATGGGTTCATTTTGAGTTTCATTAAAATAAAAGAAACAAATAGAAAGAACAAGTACAAGAGAAAAAATAAAAAGTTCAAACACAAGTAGAAATTGCAATAGAAGAAAGTGAGTCTATTTAATAAAGATTTTCTTTCTTCTATTGTATGTGTACTGAAAATATTTGTTAAAGCATTCCCTTATGCCCAAAATGCCTTGAAAAAAACTTAGAAGTCCCAACATTGAAAGTTATCATAAGGAAAAACCTACAAAAAATTTTTTTGCACCAATAATTGTGCCAATACTTGCTTATCAACATATTGTTATAAATTCAATAGTTATTACAAACCTTTTTGGAAAAATGGATTATTCTTATTCAAAAACTAAAATTTAAAGATATAATATGTTAAGTTTAATGTTTTGATTTTTTTATTTTATGTGTCTAATGTAAAAACTACACATATATTAATTAGAAAGGTTTAGCATTTTAAAGAAACTTAAAAAAAATACAGGTTAATTATGTCACATGAAAGTTGCATAAGTTTGTTTTTTTGTTGCATATTGTTGTTTTCTTGAAATTTATTCACAGAAAAAGAAAACACTTGACTAACAATTAAGTAAAGATGTCTCTAATTTTTTTATTATAAAATTCAATTAACTAATCGACAAGCAAAACTTGTGAAAAAAACTCCAGAGTGAAATAATTAGGTTTATACAAATAAGTGGTGAGTATTATAAGTGGTATTTTTATATTTATTTGAGAAACATTCTAAACAAATGATTTTAAATTTTTTGAACTATTAAAATGATTAAAAACTTTTATTATTAGAAAAATCTGTATTTTCAACTGTTTGTATCAATAGTCATTTGTTAAAATTTAATCAAGATAGAATATAAATTTGACTACTTTTCCAGGCATTGTAATCAGGAAATGAAATTGTTCCTTTATATAATTATATCTCCTATACAAAATTTAACAAAGTTAATGTTAAGTATTTATATATTTTTTTTAATAAAATGCAAATAAATTAAAATGAAAATATTTATAGGGTATTTCGTTCACAAGAATTGGCGCACCTCAACAAAAAGATTTGATTGCTGCTTCGGCTGAAGATGCTGTTAGGTATTTTGTTAGTTAAAAAATTTATTGTTCAAAACCAAAAAAAGAAAAAGAAAAATTGTAATTTTAATACTTTTAACTTAATGTCTTAACCTCCCTAAGGCTGGTGTTTGATCACTACTGTCAAGGAGACCTTTTTTATTATGCTAACTGTCTCGTAACTCTCTGCACAGTGGCCTTGTTATGACGTCTGTGCAGAGAATCTAGTCAAGGGTGCTGTACTACCAGCGGTGTAGTGGGGATCAAACTCAAAGCTTCTTTATTTTATTTATGCTATTTTCATGTTTTTATTTGTGCTGTTGGTTTAGTTTAATAGTTTTTTTTATAAAAAGTATAAGATAGTAAGATTGTATTATTGATGGATAGTAAGATTGTAGTATAGTATAAGGCATTTTAGCGCAGTATACAACGTTGTGTGTATGAGGCATTATATATAGGGCAGTATATAACATTTTATTGGGATTGTTTTATTGTGAAAGTAAGTTATCCAGTTTTAAATTGATAAATATTAAAAACATTTTTTTTTTTTTGCTCAAAACTTGATAGTAAAATTGCCTGTTCTTATGTAAATAGCACTTAATCACCATCCATAAAATAAATCTAACTTAAATTAGGAAACAGTTTTAAATTAAAGTTTGAATATTTTAAAATTAAAGTTTTGCTCTGGGTCAATGATAATAATCCCAATTAGCTTTCCAAGAATGCACTAGTCAAATAAAACTTATCTAAAAGCAAATAAAATAATTGCAGAGTGTTATCAAATTTGTTATTGTAACAGTTGTGATTTTAAAACTGTCAACTTGTTAATAAAGAGTATATATATGTATATATAAATATATATATATATATATATATAAATATATATATATATATATATATATATATATATATATATATATATTTTTTTTAACATCTTCACTTCCAACAAGGCTGCAAGCAACCACTATAAGAGTTGGAAGTTACTGGAAGAGAAAAGACTAAATCTGTAGAGCAAGATAACGATTGACTGATGACTTAAAAGATTGCAAATTATATAAATCAGGAAAGCAAGATGAAGGAAGCGAATTCCAAAGAACTGATGTTCGAGGAAAAAAACTAGAAGAATAAGAGTTTTTGAAGCACTTAGGAACAGTCACAGAAAAAGGATGAGACTTAATTGAATGGCAAGTAACACGAGAATGAATTTTAGTAGATGGCACAAGGGACGCTAGCTCTTTAGAGCAGTGCCCATTATAGTATTTGTAGAAAAGAGAAAGAGAAGCAACATTACGACGATGTGACAAAGGTTGGAGATTGGCTGCCAGAGCAGGTCCAACTATGTTTACAATTCGTTTTTGCACCTTGTCTAAAAGAGAAAGAGCATCATTACAGGGACGGATTTGAGATTTATAGAGGTAGAGAATAGAATACATCCATACAGGGACAGATTTGAGATTTATAGAGATAGAGAATAGAATCTGGAGTAAGAAAGTGTCGAGCTCGATAAAGAGATGCAACCTTAGCAGATGCTAATTTTGCAATGGATTTGATATACGGTTTAAAAGAAAGATCAGAAGTAAGAGTTAATCCTAGAAGATGAATGGTAGATGACTCATCTAGTACATTACCATTCATAAATATAGGAAGATCTAAATTATTACGATAACGATTGGCCGAATAAAATTGAGTTTTATCTGAATTAAAGTTCACCAGCCACTGTGAGCCCCATGCTGTAGCAGAAGTGAGATCCTTTTCAAGCTCAGATACCCCCTCCAAGCAATCAGAGAGTGTAGGCTTCTTATCATGACAAGAGTAAATGGTAGTGTCGTCAGCGAATGATGCCACCTTAGATGTAAGAATATCTGGAAGATCGTTAATGTAAATTAAAAAGAGTATAGGGCCAAGGATTGAACCTTGAGGAACCCCTGAAGTTACAGGATGTGAAGAAGAGTGTTGTCCATCGAGGACAACTTTTATACTACGATTGGAAAGAAAGGACTCAATAATCTTAAAGACGTTACCAGCTACACCATAAGAAGAAAGCTTATGGAGAAGACCAGCATGCCAAACTTTATCAAAAGCTTTAGAAATGTCAAGTGCGATAGCCTTAACCTCTCCACCTCTATCTAATGAACGGTAAAACCTATCGGTTATTACTGTTAGCACATCAGCTGTAGAACGAGAAGACCGAAATCCATATTGATGATCAGAAAGTAAGTTATTTGATTCAAGATGAGAGATTAAGTGTTTGTTGATTAAAGATTCAAAAACCTTGCTTATGACAGGAAGAAGACTAATGGGACGGTAGTTAGATGAATCAGATCGCTCTCCGGAATTTTTGAAAATAGGGATAACAGATGCTGCTTTCCAGCATGATGGAAAACAAGACTCTGATAAGCACTTGTTAAATAGTTTAGAAAGTATGGATGAAAGCTCCGGAGAACACCTCTGCAAGACTACAACAGGAATGTTGTCAGGACCACAAGCTGTTGAAGAGTCTAAGCAGGAAATTACTTTAGATACAGAAGCTGAAGTGATGCGAATGTCAAGCAAGGGATCAACCTGTTTGACGGCTATGTCAGGTAAAACGCAACTAGTGGAATCAAGAGATGATATTGATGAAAAGTTCTTAGCAAACAATTCAGCTTTGTCTTTAGGTGAGGTGACAAAGTCTGAACCATACAAGAGAGAAGGAATAACAGATTTGCCCTTATTATTGATACTGTTAAAGATTCTCCAGAAGTCTCGAGAGCCTAATTTTTGTGATGAGATACGAGATTTAATGACCTGGGAATAGCGAGCTTTGGTGTCAGACAAAACCTTTTTACAATGGTTTCTGGCGATAGTGAACAGATGTCTGTTTTCTGGAGAATTGTTTTGCTGATAGATATGGAAGTAACGGTTTCGATTAGAAATTGCTGCAGCGCAATGTGAGGAAAACCAAGGAGAAGAGTGAGGCTTGACCTGGAATCGTCGAGAGGGAATAAAAGATTCCATGCCAGCCTGAATCCACGAAGTTATGTAAAAAGCACATTTGTCAGATGGAAGACGAAAGATTTCTACCCAAGGGCCATCACAAAGAAAATCACGGAAAGAGTCCCAGTCAGCTTTAAGGTAGTTGTATGTGG